AGGAAAAGTTTATCCAACAGAAGAATCAAGACCTGATTATATTTGTATTGATAAAGGTTGTCAAGTGTTTGCAACTGCAGTAGCAAATGGAAGTTGGGATATTTGGAAAAAAACTACTCGATTTATTGTGGATGCCTACCACTATATCAATCATCGGGTGTTAGATTTTCTATGCCGAAAATATTGTAATCCCTCACCTGGAGATGGATCTGCTCCAAACCTTGTAGTCATGGCATATGATAAGAATGGTAGAGCATATTTGAAGCGAGCATTCAATACACAGGTATTTATTACTTTATTTAGATTCAATCTCACCTCAACACTGTATTACATCTAGGTTTGTGAACAACTTAATGCATGGCTTGGTGGATATCAATCAATTCTCAAATGTATGACACCTGGAAATTTCAACTGGTTTTTACACACCATGCTGTTCTATCACACAAAGTATGTCCTCCACAAACAAGAGATGAAGAAATCAGATGAAGATGAGGAGGAAAACTTAGGTTTAGATGAAGAAGCTCAAGATGATGAGGACAACTAAATAGTAGTGAAGAGAAAGAGGTGTGCAGAAGTGTATATTAGTGTAAATGTATAGTTAACTGAATAGTAGTAAAGAGAAGTATGCAGAAGTGTATATTACTGTAAATTAACATATACTTGCATTTAAATAGAGGTTTTATACCTTATTCTTCTCATATCCTGTCCCATTCCAGTGGAATTCCCCTGGAATACACAGGAATTCCCCTGGAATACACAGGAATTCCCCTGGAATACACAGGAATTCCCCTGGAATACACAGGAATTCCACAGGAATTCCACAGGAATATACAGGAATACACAGGAATTCCACAGGAATACACAGGAATTCCACAGGAATACACAGGAATTCCACAGGAATACACAGGAATACACAGGAATTCCTGTGTATTCCACAGGAATTCCACTGGAATGACTAGATTCCTGCAGGATTCCTGCAGGAATAGGTGGGGCACTGTAAAGTACTGCGAAATGATGGGGAGTGGGCACTGTGAGCAAAATGGGATGGGGACGGGGACAGAAAAGTGTTTGGGGGCTGGGCGCAAAACAACGGGGAGTAGGCGCTGTGAGCAAAACAGATGAGAACGGGGACAGAAAAGGATTTGGGTGTGAAATGCCATGGGTGGGGTGTGCTCAAGTCGATGGGCGTTGGGCACAAAACGATGGGGAGTGGGCACTGGTAGCAAAATGGATGGGAACGGGGACAGAAAAGCGATGGGGTGTGAAACACCATGAGTGGGGTGCTTGAGTGGGTGGGCGTTGGCCGCAAAACAATGGGGGGTGGGCGCTATTAGTAAAACAGATGGGAAAGGGGAAGGAAAAGCATTTGGGGGGCTGGGTGGGCGCGAAATGACAGGGAATGGGCGCTGTTAGCAAAACAGATGGGAATGGGGACAGAAAAGCATTTGGGTGCAAAATGCAATGGGCAGGTGTGCTTGGGTGGGTGGGCGTTCGGCGTGAAATGACATGGGTTCAGCGCTGTGGGCAAAACAAATGGGAAAGGGGGGTGGAATGATTCGAGGGTGCTGTAGCGGGCTGTGGTGCTGTTGAATTGGTCAATCGGGGCTGTAATTGAGGGGGGGAGACATACCGTGGGCCCCACAGGGTTACAACCTGCTTTTGGAGGCGTCAGTGGCCAATTAGACATAAAGAAAGGAGGGCGGCTTACCTGTGGGACCCACGAACATCGGTCACCACCGAAACAAGGCGGCTAGACAATGTCGAGAGGTTGAGGGGTGTAGGAGGTGGTGGGGGGAGAAAAGGAAGGGTGGGAAAAAATTGTGTTGGGTGGCGGATTCATCAAACGAATGAGCCACATGACTTTTGAACATAAATTTGGGGTAGATATTTGAAATGCTCACCCCGCCAGCTGAACAAAATACAGAATCCCAATGATTGGCACTGTATGCAGCTATGGCAATGTAAGTCTTGTCCACGACATTCAGAGTTTACTATGTAGTTACCTGATTAATTGTTAATAACTTTCTTTTTTCATTAATAATACTAATAACTAGCCCAGTCCATTGGACTGCTATTGGATCTGTCCACTGGAATTCCGTTGGCACTTGCTGTTCATTTCCAGTGGACTGGCTGCTAGTTTGCTGTGAGTCCATAGGAAGTCTGACAGAAAAGTCCAATGGACTTTGAGGTCTGACCAGAAATGCTCGGAAAAGCATTGGAAAATCCCCAGAAAAATTGCTGCAGTGGTAAAGCAAAAAAATACCTGTTCTGGATACCCTCAGTCCGACCAGAGTCCGCTCGGAAAAGCAGTGGCAGCGTAAAAACCTCTGGTTTTCCGTCATTCCGGCAGATTCCCATCATTCTGGCAGATTCTGGTGCCATTCCAGTGGAATTTACCAGCCAAAATTCCACTCCAGCCACGGAATATTGTTATTCCAGGATTTTCACCAGAACAGTCCCCAGAATGGACCTAACCTAACCCTAAGGACCAGAACAGAATGGCACTGGAATGCAGTGACCAGAATGAACACTAAAAATTNCAAATATGGCAAGTTCTATATTTTCAGATAAAAATTAGCAATAAAATCAGAAGAAAAATAGGGATGGTGGTAATGATGTTGGGGTACTGTTTACATGGTCTGTGCGCATTTCCTAATATGGTAATTAATGCAAATATAACCAGAAATCGTGGGGAAAAGGGAAAAAAATAGGGATGGTGCTCACTATTGGTGATGTATTGCTTACATGGTCTGTGCGCATTTCCAAATATGGTAATTAATGCAAATATAGCCAGAAAATCAGCAAAAAAGAATGAACATGATGTAGACTGTTCTTGAGCAAATATAGCCAGAAGATCAGAAAAGAAGGGGAAAAGGTATACACATGGTGTTAACTGTTATTGACAATGTTGGAGTAATGTTTACATGGTCTGTGCACATTTCCAAATATGGTAAAATTGGTAATTAGTGCAAATATAACCAGAAAAACAGCAGAGACATGATGTTACAGTGTTTTGCATATTGTTTTGCACAACCAATTTTCAGACATGAATTATTTGATTGCCTTGATTGCTGCTCGGCCCAAGGTCTACCTTGACGAGCTCCAGGAGGAGCTCTATGCTTCCCGAAATGCTGATGTATCTATTGCTACAATATCGTGGGCCTTGCGTCATTGGGAAATGAGCAACAAGCATGTAGCAAGTGAAGCATTGGAGAGGAATGAGCTGTTGCAGGCCATTTGGCAAGCAGAATATGGTGATATCCCTGCAGAATACTGCGTGTGGTTGGACAAAGCGAGTGTCGACGACAAAACAAATCAGCGCCAAAATGGTGCTAAACTTGATAACTATACCCCTTGTGGCACCAATGATTCGGCATCATCAACAAAAGGAATAATGTCAGGAGAGTAATCTTACTCGCAGAGAGCAATTTCGTGAGAAGTCAAGTTGATGCCCTCCAACTTGGCAAAGTCATGAAGACAGTCACAGAGCTCATGCCCTGCCTCTGGGACTGGAGAGTTTGTGGTGGGAGACATAGGTTTCGACCGCTTCAGGGTGGAAGGGACAGGTCGTGTAGGGGACTTGGATGTGGAGCGACCGCACTTATGAGAAAGTCCCCTGAGAAGGGCGGACACCAATAAAGCCATGGCATCACGGTTAGGGTTTGGCAACACTGCAGCGTGAGCAGAGCTCGAAAAAGGACCAGTTCGTCCACAAGCTTTAGGACTGTTGAGATGGCCATCATGAGCACCATCAAACACATTTATGTTAGGTGGTTCATGCTTGGTTGCATCTCCGGCAGCCTTCACCAATGTCAGACTTGAAGAAGGGCAAATGAAATAGACAGATGTACCATAGCTGCAGCCCAAGTTTTGAGCTGAAGAGGATTCAAACAGACATGTTCACTCATTGGGTTAACGTAACAATATCCAGCTTCGCCGTGTTCTCCCTGGTGCGTCTGACAAGACCACGTCTTCGAGGTCGATTATGAATTTGCCATGTAGTTGGGAAAGCTTGCTAAAGTTGTCAATACATGGAACCTGTAAAGAGATAAGATCAGTGGGATGTTGTATAAGCAACAGATAATATAAGTCTTACCCGAGTGCCGTATGCCAATTCTTTGTCACCACCCACCGTTGGTGCATCTGAGATGGAAGGAGGAAGCTAGATATTGGCGTGAGCTCGCTCATCAATAAAGAAAGGTTTTGCTTACTACATGCTTGATCCGGAAACCCTCCATGTCATCAATGTCAATCTCCACACTGACTTAAACCTTGCTTTTGTCTTTTTTGAGAAGAGCTCCAAGGGCAACACTAAACTGATGGTCATTCTGAATAGAGGGGGTGCCACCCTTGCTGCCGCTTAAGGAGTGAATACGTTATTGGAACTACAACATAGTAAAAGAAAGGGTCAAACGAACACAGCACCGTTCCACCACATTTTAAAGTCGGGGCCTGAGTGTACACCTGGGGCAAACTTGTCGGAAATGCCGTGGACCCCCAAAATTGCCTTGACAAAGTCAACACATGTGATTGAATCCAGTAAGATCATGTCCATCTTTGTATTCTTGCATTTCTTTGGGACAGCCTTTCCCCATCCAGTAGGCGCGGCTGTCGTGCTGGAGTACATGAGGGTGACATTGATAAGGTGGCCCTTTGAAGCAGGTGCTGCGAGCAATGGATGTTAGATTTCAAGATGAATCTTAAATGAGAACAGAAGACGTACCAGTGCTATCAACCCCTGTCCTATAGTGGTTGTTTGTCAAGTTGATTAGAGAAGGTGTGAGGGGCACAGGTGGTTCAGTAGCAACAGGTGTCGGAGTGACTCTTGCAGCATATTGATCATACTGGATACCCGGGGTTACACCAGCGGCGACGAGGGCATCGTTGACCTCCTGATGAGAGTGATAAAAGCAAGGCGGGTTGACTCCATCATCTATGAGATTTTTAGGCAAGACGTATGAAAATCAGGCAAGTAAAACATACCAATCCACACCGGGTTTCTCAACCACCCTTCAGATGGACGCTGGTCATTGGCGTTTCGCGAAATCAGAGGGTGGTTCTCGGCATCGTCCTTGTTGTAAATGGAGCCCTGAGGGTTCATGGTAGTCAGAGAGTGATATCAATCGTTTGAAGGTTCCACTCACATTTTATACTGCTCATCGTGAAAATCCCTCCATTGCTCAGATTTCGAATCGGCTTTGACACTGCAGGGCACTACCAAGAATGGATTCAGGTGGGAAATCGAGGGGAACTGGAGAGAAATGGAGGCCGGTTCTGTAAAAAAAGGATGGACCAACCTCCTATACTTCAGGAAAGATGCTTGGCTGACGACGAGGGAGCTCCATCCCTACAGTTTCAAGCTAAAATATGATTCTGACCTTGATTCAATATTTCGAAGTCTTGAACCTGCACGTAGAAAGTATTCTGGCTGCCGAAAAATGAGGACGGTGGGTTCAGGGTTTGGGATGTGACCAAAATGTCATGTCGCAACACAGCCAAACAGCGCTCACGAAAATTTGGTTGTGCAAAACAATATGCAAAACACTGTAACCATTGTTGACAATGTTGGGGTACTGTTTACATGGTCTGTGCACATTTCCAAATAGCTGTTGTCAGGTTCAGGGTACATATCCAAAAAAGGAAATATAAGTATTTCTAGTAAAAGAATAGCAGAAAAATCACAAAAAAATGGAGTTGGTATATGCAGTGTATACAATATGGGGCACTGCCTTCAGGGTCCATGTCAGGGCCATTTATATATACCCACAAAAGGAAATATGATCTTGTATGACGAAAAAGTCAAGAAATTCAAGATAATGAGGATTCTGCTTATCAGGGTTCATTCAATGGGATGTCAGGATGATGGTCACATGACCAATTACCAAAAATGGTCAAAAACAAAAGTTGTAGCTGGCACTGTAGCTTCCCAAATTTGGTTGAATTGTGTTCTGAGGTGCTCCCATTGTGGAGATATGAGATAAAAGATTTTCAAAAGTGGATTCCAGTCCATACATGTGGAATCCGGTGGAATCCAGCGGAATATGTAGGGCATCAAAAAGTACAGGCAGCAATGGTGAAAAATTGGAGGTCTTTATTGTCCCCCTGTAATCTCTGCCAAGCTCAGCTCAACTCTGTCAGAGCTCTGCCAAGCTTGGGTGGTTTTTAAGGTAGGGGGGGAAAAAGTTGGCTGGGGGTGTACTTTACAGTTCCCCCTGATTCCTGCAGGACTGGACAGAGTCCTGCAGGAATCCTCAGAACTCTGCCAAGCATGGCAGAGATTGGCAGGATGTCTGCTAAATTGTAGTCTAAGTCTGACTTTCATAGTCTTTTGTAGTTCTATCACTAAACTTTGTAATCTAAGTCCAACTTTCATAGTCTATTAGTAAACCTTGTAGTGTACGTCTGACTTTTGTAAACTTTGTAGTCTGACAGTGTCAGTTTCCCTTTCAGGGCATGCACCTTCCTCTTTTGATAATTTTCCCATAATATAATAATTATAGCCCTTACTCTTAGCCTTCTAAATATCCAACACTCTTGAAAATTCTTTACTTCATTTCTCCACACCAGAAACACTTCAGAACATAATTCAGGAAGCTACAGTATAGGTCTACAACTTTGATTTTGACCATTTTTGGTAACTGGTCATGTGACCAACATCTCAACATCCCCTTACATGGACCTGAATCATGTTTCTTCACTTTTGGGTCAAACCATATGAGATTTCCTTTTTGGGATGGACCCTAAAGTAGACCCTGAAGGTAGTGCCCAACAGAATTTATAATTTTTCTGGCTTTTGTCTGATTTTCTTTGCTATTTTTCTATCACATTGCTCTAGATTCTGAACGATGGACCCTAATATTATAAACAACAGTGAGAACTATTTGAATGTTTTGGGTGAGGTGAAATCCCAGTCCTCAGGACTGGCCCAAGTCCTGCAGAGCTTGGCTGTGACCCACCTGCCAACTCAATATGGGTGCCCTGTTATCAAAAACTACCTGAACTCAGCTGAGCTCAGGCAGAGCTTGGCAGAAATTATAGGGAGACAATAATGACCTCAATTGGTAAAGCATTGCTTCATTAAAAAAACAAAGCTTCCTCTGCCATTGCCCAGTAAATGAGTTGAGCTTTGCCAAGTAGGCCAAACTCCAGCTGGAGTGGAGGCAAAATCAATATCTTGAAAGGCACATTAGATTGAAATTCAAAGTTTGTCATGATGAAAAAGCACCATCAACATCAGTATTGAAGTGGTACAGAAGTGAGGATGGGTATGCCAAAAAGACCCATGAAGGGAGCTCAATAAGAACTCCTGCCTTCTAGAGAACCAGCCAGGTTTTTGAGTGTGGTCAAAGTCACTTCCTGCAGTGGTGTGCAGCAGAGTTAGGAGAAGGAGAAAGGGATGGAAATCAGACCAGGGAGACCATACACCATGAGAAGGCAGACACCAACAATATTTTTGCTATCTGCATAAGGGTGACAATGTACTCTGTCCTGACCAGGAAACATACCATTCATGCAGAGGTTCCAGAAGCACCCAAACAGGGGCTTGGCATTTGTGTATCTCTGCTCATGCCACTCAGCACACCAGTCGAATTTTTCTGCAATGCCAGGGAAGAATGGTGTCACATACAGCTTCAAAAATCATCTGTGCAGAGTCAGTTCAGCCCACTTCAGTCACCCACTGACAACTGACTATTAGTCTTGCAAACTCCATGAATACTACAGGACTAAATGTCAGGGTGTATATCTGTATTGTATATATTTCTTGGGCTTGTATATCTCCACTTTTACCTAAATATATTTTGTTGTCCAATGTCACACTAAATATATTTCCTCACTGGAATGGACTCCAAATATATTTCTTATGCCTGGACCCTGAATTGTGACTGTCACAATGTAGAAATATATTTCTTGTCTAGGTTGGACTTGGGATATATTTTGCAGCTAGGGTTTACTAAGGATATATTTTTTCAGCCACAAGGGGTGTCTGGGGTCCTATATTTAAGAGAAAAACTTGGGATTTTTATAAATATAGGGGATATGGAATTTAACTATTATTTTGTAGGCAGAATACCCTCATTGGGATTTTTGTTGACAGATATTTACCAATAGCTTTGACCCATGTGTAGTATATGCATTGATGTGTGCACTATTTCCTAATTGGGCCATTTCCTAATTAAGAAAAGTGTTACACTTTTTTCTGACACACCTGATGTCAGGCACAGTGCACATTTAGGTTGGGAACTGTTTCCCACGCTTTTTGGGCCAGAAGAGTTAATGGCTAGCAGGGTGTTGTCATTGTTAATGACAATGTCCGCATATTTCCCAATTGGGAAAGTCATTACATAATATCAGTTTAGTTTGTAGTGTCCGCTTTTTTCATTACAACACTTTGTAGTGTCCGCTTTTTTCATTAGAAGTGTGTGTAGTGTCCGCTTTTTTCATTAGAAGAATGTGTAGTGTCTGCTTTATTCATTACAAAATTGTGTAGTGTCCGCTTTTTTCATTACAACACCTTGTAGTGTCCGCTTTATTCTTGTGTAGTGTCCACTTTATTCATTACAACACTGTGTAGTGTCCGCTTTATTCATTACAAAATTGTGTAGTGTTCGCTTTTTTCATTAGAAATCTGTGTAGTGTCCGCTTTTTTCATTACAAAACTGTGTAGTGTCCACTTTATTCATTGCAAAACTGTGTAGTGTCCACTTTATTCATTGCAAAATTGTGTAGTGTCCGCTTTATTCATTACAAAATTGTGTAGTGTCCGCTTTTTTATTACAACACTGTGTAGTGTCCGCTTTATTCATTACAAAATTGTGAAGTGTCCGCTTTTTTCATTAGAAACTGTGTAGTGTCCGTTTTTTTCATTAGAAAACTGCGCAGTGTCCACTTCTTGCATTACAAAGGTGCGTAGTGTCCGCTTTTTCATTAGAAGAATGTGTAGTATCTGCTTTATTCATTACAAAATTGTGCAGTGTCCGTTTTTTCATTAGAAATCTGTGCAGTGTCCGCTTTTTTCATTACAAAATTGTGTAGTGTCCACTTTTTCATTACAAGTGTGTATGTAGTGTCTGCTTTTTTCATTAGAAAATTTTGTGGTCTGCCTTTCTGATATCTTGTGACTCCAGCAAAACAGCGCTTCATCATTTGGAATTCATACACCAGTTGTGTTTTGACTGAGCATCAAGTGTCCTAACTTTCCCCTTGAACAGCATCTGACAGTAGCCCCAACAGCTGGCAAATCAATCACTGAGATTGTCTTGAAGGAGATCATGTTGAGGTTGGCTATGGTCAGACATAGATGGACAGAGATGAGTCCCCAGGGAGATGCAATGAATGTTGGACAACATGACTGAAACTGGCCAAGGGGACAAATAGGACACTTGATGCTCAGTCAAAACACAATTTGTGTATGGATTCCAAATGATGAAGCACAATTTTGTAATGAATAAAGCAGACACTACACAATTTTGCAATGAATAAAGTGGACAAACATGTTTTTCTTCCCCAAAGCCTCAACCGGTCTTTGGTTGTAAAATTTATTACACCTCAACTCACATAAATTGCATACGTAGATAGATATTTTAATTCTCCATAGACTGATCAAAGATTTAAGCAATTCCGTGAAGATTTTACTGAGATATGGCAAAAACGGAAAGGATATACATTCAAATTGCATATAAAAATATTTTTGGCCATATCTCAACCAATTCTTGACCATTTTTGATGATTGAGGGACCTAAAATCAAGTAAAAATGTGTGCGAGTAGGGTCCAACACGTGATGGGACGAACGACCGGTTGCAACCGGTCTAAACCAGTCTTTTTCGGTTATTAAATATTTACAAAAACATGGCAACTGGCAACTGGACTGACCACAAATGTGGGCAACTGCAACTGGAAAAAGACCGAACCATGGTTCAGTCCAGTTCAGTCCTATGTATATTTTCAGTCCTGTATACTGGACCTGCAAACACTATCTAGCTTTGAAAAAGAGACTACAAATTTGTCTCCAGCAGCGAAAATTTGAAATTGATGTTGCATCTCCCTGGGGACTCATCTCTGTCCATCTATGTCTGACCATAGCCAAATTCAACATGATCTCT